CTACATACTACATAAATATACTCTATAGATATTTGTTTCCCCAATTGTGTATTTCCCCAAATTGCATAACCCGGATGCCTGATTAGCCATCTGATATGAAAGTTATTCTCAGGCCGCTTTGATGCATTTCAATTATGTAAACCCCGTTTCCACATTGATATATGCACAAGGGTCGGTGGAAAGGTGGCCGCAGGAGGAGGTGTAGTCTGAAGTCCCATCAAAGTTCGATCGTCGTCGTTTCCTAATTTTCGGGTTCCGGACTCCAAGTTTTCGCTGCCGGGGCAGCCGCCTAAATGCTAAATGCATGCCGAGATGCAGATGGATAGCGTTTTGGGCGGTGTGGGCGTGGTCGCAGCTAACTACTGACGAGGTCGTGAGTATCACTCAAATTGCCTTGCCGCATTCATCATCGGACAGCGGCCGAAACAGAAACAGTAAATGTAACATGTGAGCATTGGGGTGGTCCCCCGATATTGCTGAAATATTATGATATTTGTGTAAATGAGTGCCCCTATAAGGGAAAAGACTTGAAAAGTGAAAGCGAGACTCTTCTAAAGGTTATTATAAAATCGTTTTGATTTATTGGCTTATTTGTGTTGTTTTTAACGCATATTTGCTATCTAGGGACCAAGGTTCAATTTCTGAGGACAAGGATATAAATAAATCAAATGACCATATTAAAGATCGTTTTAGAAGTTTTAAATATAATTTAATTTGGAAACAAACTATTTAGAAATTGAAATAAAATAATAAGAAATAATATTATAAAATTAAAAAAAATTTTAACTAAATCTTGGAAATCCTAAAACTGATTAGATTAATATTATAAAATAAATTTCAATGAGTGACAAGAAATGTATCAAATTGGTTTATAAAATAAAATCATATTTCGATCTTTTAATTTACCACACTTCAGGTCCACCCTATTAATCAGCCACACACCGGAGTTAAAGTCGTTGTTGTTGCCGCATTGGAGCTGTTAGTTTAGCCGGCTGAGGGGCGTGGCCGTTCAGCGCTGAACTCTTTTGGCAGAGACGACGTCGTTATATATGAGGCCCCGTAATGGGCCGAGCTCTGGCACATATACGAATATGAGCTTGGAGGGACCACTTGTCCCCAGCGACAGTTTGCCACTTTCTCACCTCCCCCAGGAGTCGCAGGGGGAGGCGAATTGAAATGGGTATTGGGGTGGGGGTTGGGGATGGAGGTGGGGGCAAGGAGTCACTCGTACTCGAACCGATTCCCGACCAGGCAATAAAAGTTCACCACAGGGACAGGACAGTCAGTCGCACATGAGGGGCCGACAATGGGGGCAATGGGAGCTCCGGCGTAGCTCCGCTGTTGGGCTTAGCTTTTCATTACTTTATTTTCGAGTCTGGGCTCAATCTGAATCTGTCTTGCCAATAACAGCAATGCCACCAACAACAGCAACCGGCGAGCGGGAAAAACTGCGGACTTGCAGTGCTCGTTTAAATGCGGCGTCGCAATCGCATTCGTTGTTTGAAAATCCAAAATAGACAGACAGAAAGAAAACAAGAAATAAGTATATTACTATAAAGGTTAGCCAAGGCCTACCGAATCCCCGATACCCTATAAAATTGGCATTTCATATAACAAATTAGGTAAATAACAGAACACCACACCTCGGAATGCAAAATTAATCTTTTATTTTGATTTCAATCTTTACTCCAGTGATCCAATTTGAAGCGAAGGAATTCAATAAAAGAATTGGAAATGGGAATGGAAATTTCTCAACGATTTTCTTATCAAATCTGGCAAAATGTAAATCAATTAATAATGTCTATTTTACTAGCTAATTTCACAGACACCTGCTAGCTTGATATTTGATACTTTTTTTGGGTGTCGCAACTTGAGAGGGTTATTATTAATACTGGTATGCTGTCATAAGGTAAACAGTCTCGTATTATTATTATAATACCACTAGGGGAATGTCTAATCTTAATCTTATTAAAAACGTACAAAATTAGGAATTAAGTCACAGAAAAAATATAATTTTTTCACTCTCGAAATATGAAGCACTTGATTTGGGTTCTCGAACCCATTAAGATTAACTTCTGAAGATACAAATGTGACATAATGGACTCTTGCCATTAAAACCCTGACAAAGGGTATATCCTAGGTCTTAGAAGGAAAACCGGGAGGATGAAGAGCAGGCGGGCGAAAAGGAAAACAGAAATCGTTTTTGCGCAATCCTCACAGATCTGATAAGCAGTTAGAGAGCATTAGACCAGCCAGCACACACTCTCAAACGGGCCAGCAAACAAACTGAGAAACCAAGAAACCAACAAACCAGCCAACAAACAGACAAACGGAGAAACACATCCAAAGATCCAAAGAGTCTGGGCTTGAGTCTGGGGGTCTGGGTCTGAAAGCCAGCATCAGCATCAGCATAAAGCCAGCGTCAAGTCAAAATCTTCAGTCCCCAGTTCCCAATCCCCAATCCTCTAGCCCCAACTGGCCCGACCGGGCTAACTTTTGAGTGTTGCAGCACTGACTGAGCTTAGCTGGCCCCGGCTCCTCAGAGATCTCCTCCGGATCCCCCAATCCCCAATCCTCGAATTGCTCGAGAGTCGCGACGTAACATGCAACATTACATGCCTATAATTTGTTTTCACACAGCAGGACGTTTTCACTCCATAAGACATCAGAAAGAGGCCTTAAATGGTCACATTACTGCCATTTCGAACAGCGTTCAAATGTTCAAAGGCGACTGGCTGCATCTTCTCCAGAGTTTCGAGGCGGGTTTGTGTTTTGTGTGCTTGTGCCTTTCGGCCAGATCTATGCTATACAGCCTTCGGCCAATGCAATAATGTTTGCTAACTGTTATTTAATATAGTCATTATTTGGCCACAACTTGTCCCACTGAGCAAATGGCACTTCATTCCCCAATTTACCAACGCATCCCCCGCGGCATTCTGCCTCATCCTCTATTCACCGTTGCTGCCCGAACTTTGGCAGACGCAACATGGGAACAGTGCATCCTACACTTTAAATAAAACAAGAAAGAAAGCTGGCTTTGGCAGGCCGAAGCTTATATACCCTTGGAGATCATTTATTTTAAGTTCAAAATTAATATTAAAAGTAATACAAAAATTTTAAATTCCGATAATCTTGCCTAAAATTAATTATAGATTATTTCTTATTATTTTTACAAAATTTTCAATCCATTCGTTGTTAAATTTATTTAAAATTCTGATATAATAAAAAAAGTTAAGTCCCAGTAATATTGAGAAATATTTAAAAAATGATTCTGGCTTGGCGATGCTGATTAAGAATATATATTTCTTTACTTAACTTCTTACTGAAATTATAGTATCCTTTTATAATGGTAAAATTTATTTGGGAACATTTTTGGAATAAGTAAAGGGCTCATTTATAATTTTTACCCATGGTAGGCTTTGTCTAAGATTATGTAAAAATTTTCAAGTAATGGAAATTACAAAACAACATATTTTACCTTTTTTAGCCTTTAAAAAACTCACTAAAAGTTTCAAGTTTAAGAGTATACAATTTTTAAATAAATAAAACGAATCAGAGTTGTGAAGTTTTCGATTTTAATTTATGGGTTAAAAATCAGAATAATTCTTTAATTTAAAATAAATATAATTATTCTTATTAATTTTTAATTAGTTCCTTCAATAGTGCAATAAATAGTGGAATTAGTGTAGGGAAAGAGGTTGGGCGAATGCGATTTTCTCTTGCCTCAGTGCTTCGATGATCGAATGCACAAGTGCCGGCGCTGGTCATCTCCTACTCCTGTTCCTCCTGCCCCGTCTATCTGAGCACCGGCCCCTCCCCCCACAACCTCTTTTCACAACTGAGGCTAAGCCCCAATTTGGATTATTTGTAGACATTAAATAAGCTGCGGCCACTGCAAATGCAGCAGGAATTAAGTCGCGCCAGAGTTAAAAATATCCGCGAGACGTCTCGGGATTGTCCCATTGCCAGGTTCCTAGATCGAGTTGTGCCGATAAAGGTGCAGCTGCAGATCGCTTTTGGATTGCAAGGGGGATTACCAAGGGGTGGCAGAGGTAAAAGGCATCTTTACACAATTCAATTGAGTGGCAGACGGACGGGGCATTTACATATGAATACCAAGTGTCCTTTACCGTTATGGCCGGTAACAATATAATATGAGAGACAGCAATAACAAAGCCAACTACTACCAACTACCGACTGCTGCCCACACTAAACAAGTTAACATTAACCGTCGGCAGCAGTCAACAGTCAACACCAACAATAACAATAACAATAGCAATAAAAATAAAAACAAATCGCGGGGTGAGGTGCGAGCTGCGATCAGCGAAGGGCAAGAAAAACACAACACGAAAAAGTATCTTCAAAATACACTTATGCTGTCTTTTTATGGCATATCTTTTACTTATTTGCCCGCACTTAAGTATCGCGGCGCTCGTCTCCGCGGCCAAAGCTGCTTTTTCTGATTTTTCCTCTTTTTATATTTTCGATTTTTTTCCGTTTTTCGCTCTGTTTTTTTTTCCTTTTTCTTTGGGGTTTTTATTTTTATTTTCGTAAATGAAATGAATTCGAAATATGGGTCGTCGGCGCGCAGTCTGATTCCGTTTTCGAGCCTCTCCACTACCACCGCCCCCCAAATAATAATAACCCCTTCGAAGAGCCGAAGAAAAAAACTCCTGATCTCGAAACACACTTCCAACAAGAGATGCGAGCAAAATTTCGAGAGCATTATTGGCACGAATTATTAACCTTTTCTTTTGCCATGCTTTTTTTGCTGGCACTTTTTTTTCGGTGGTGCACTTTAAGCCCACATCTCATTGGGGCGAGAAATTGGCCCAAACATATGTACGTATATGCGGAATGAGCCACAATTCGGCACGAAAGATCGTTCCAATTGGAACATGAGACCGCGACGAGTGCACATCCATGCATTCGTATTTATAAGTCCAAAGAACTTTCACACAACTGGGTTAATATCGAAAATAAAGGCCTGTCGTACGTACTATGGATCTGGATCTTATGGCGCTGACCTTGCCCACGGAGTGTGGGTTATGCTGCGCCCTTGGTTCGATGGGATCTTTTTCACCTTTCTACCGTTACGACTAACGATCACTCGGAAAACTGCGACGCACTAAATCGGTTTGAATTTGAATCCCGCCCGGATCGTGGTTAATCCCACTGATAACTGATTCACCTAGCGAGCGAACGAAGTTAACGCTTTTTCGATTCGTTTTGGCGCTTTTATCCGCGAACACCTCCGAACACGGCCAAATGTAAATGAAAAATGAAGATCACTCCAACAACCGGCCCTGTACTCGGTGTGTGGTTGTTGTTGTTGCCGCCGACCGACACATGGTGAATATTCGGTCAGCTCAGCTGCTCGGGGGCACAGTGGAATCGGTTGGTGGTCAGAAGTGAAAATGTTCAATTCGCCAATATTTGGGAATTTTTTAATGGGTTTTAGGTAGTTTTCAAATGTAAATTAAAATATAATTAAAATTCTCTTCTATTTCTATTTGAAAAACCATCATTTTTGAGAACCATTGTTTTGAATGATATTTGAAGCTTATTTTATTAAAAGCTAAATATTCAAAAATAACTTATTTTTTGCTCACTGGGTTGTTATTGGTTATCCAATCCATCACAAATGTTAGCATTTAATGTTAATATTAAACAAAATGAAGAATTAGACTGTAATTAAAAAATATAAATAACGGTTTTAATCAATTTATGTTCCATTGTAAACGCACTAGAGATTATTGAGTGCTCATAAATGCGTTAAACGTTAGGCTTAAGTTTAGTTATCGATTTATTTCGTAGGGGAAAAATAAATAAATTAACTTTAAAACTATAAAATTTTTTTAATTTTTAAATATTCAGAGGAAGTCTTTTTTTTTAAGAACAAATTAACTTTTTTGATTTTCCTGGCAAAATAAATATCGATAAATTCACATTATTGTGCCTACGTGACAACCCTATTACTCAAGCCGTTGTTGTTCTTTCAATTAAGCCATTATTATTTTAAAAAAAAGGTACGCCCACGCCCCAGAAAACCAAACAAACTAGTTATATTCCAAGGATATATGACAGGATAACCCTTAGATGTGACTAGAAATTGGGAAACTAAAGAAATTCAATTGTTTTGACTGTGTTTTCATTGACCAAAATATTTGGGCGTTGACGCTTTTACACGCAGTCCGACTAAATTTGAGACTCCCAAGTGTTAATTGTATTTTCCCGGTAATCCTCACAGAACCATGGTTGTGCTGAGCTCCTGCTGGTCACCCATCATCTGGTCGGATAATGTCCGGTCGGGAAGCTACGCCGTGGCCGGCTATACGGCTGCGCTGTCCGCCGTGATGATCACTTTGATTTGCTACATGCTGGCGGGCGGGGAGTCTGCGCAGCTCTATTCGCCGCTCTTCGAGACGGATATCCGGACATCGATGCCCATAGCAGGTGGCTTCTTCATCATCTACTTCCTGCTGATCATCCTGGCCTCATACCTGGTCTACTACGGCATTAAAATAAGGTTGGAGTGGCTTTAGTTCTGAGTTTATTACTGATTCTAATAACTATTTCACATATTCCTTAGCACTCGCGGATGGCTGCTTCCTTGGTTGGGTCTCATTGGTCTGGCCATTCTCTTCCAGTTCTGCTGGAGTCTCTGGCTTATTGGAGGCTACTATATTTATGTGAGTAAAGGCTACTTTCCCTATAAACTAGATCTAATGGATTTTCTTTTAACCCACAGCTGGAGCAAACCTTTTCAGCTCTTTTAAACTTTGTTTGGTGTGCCTATAATGTAAGTTATTGAAAATCCAAATTTCTAGACTTTAATTACCCCTTTATAATATTTTCCCCAGGTCTACTGCTGGCTGGTGGTGTTCTCGCAGTACCAGATATTCTTGAAGATCCAAAATCCCAACATTGAACTGCTGATGCCATGAAGAGCAACCCACTTCCAAGCATTTGCTTGAATATTTTACAAATTAGACTACATTTCTGACTCGACACGCTGCAAAAAGTCCGTCCAAGCGCATTTTTTACCATAAGAACTCCATACATTTCCACAGATGCCTACCAAATAGTTTTATATAAATTTATATATTTTACACACCTTTGTACACGATCAATTATACTAATGTATAAATCGAATGCCTTAGTCTGCTAAACGACAATTAAACAAATAGATTCGTAAAACTACTAGATAGCTAATAGCAAATTCGGGGTCCTTGGGGCCAAGAAATCAATGGGGTTTTTGAATATCAACGTTTATTACCGTAAATTAAGTTAAGGTGTACGCTAATTATACGAGTTTTGTGTGTGTGTTGTGTGTTTACATCGAGAAAGGTATTATTTGTACAGAAACTTTAAATGAAAACCGACGACCTTTAACCACTGAAGCAGGGGGATCTCTAAACTGGATGAAAGTGGGGGATCGGGTAGAAGCGAGTCATTAAATATACATTAAGGTAAAGCTTAGGATCGAATATTTTACAGAGCCTGGTGTTAAACACAGAGCAATGGGCTGGGTTCTAGGTCTTCTCCTCCTTCTCCTTGTTGTAGCGCTCCAGTTCCTTGAGGAACTGCGCCTTCGGCTTCATCACGTTGGGTCGTTCGCCGCGGCAATTGGGGCAGAACCACTTGCCCTTCGGCTTGAGGACCAAGGAGACGCACGAGAAGTGGAACCACTCGATGGGGCACAGGTCGTTGTCGCACAGGATCATCTCGCCAAAGGAGATCTTTAAGAGAGTATAAATTAGTATTGGATTTTTTAAGAAAACTACCTAAAACTCACCTGATTGCAGACACAGTAGGTCGGCTCGTCGGGATCTATGGTCTCCGGCGGCGGCGTCTCCTCGCGCGTGCTGGCATTCGCATTAGAAGCCCCCGAGCCGCGCACCTTGCGCTTCTTTTTCTTCCCCGAATTGTTGGCACCACCGACAACGCCTGCTCCGCTGCCACTAGCAGCATTTCCTCCTCCTCCTCCCGCAGCCGCACTGCTTGTAGATGCAGAACCGCTGGCTAAGCTGCCCGAGGCCGCCTGCAGACTGGCCTTGCGTCCTTGGCCCGCTGCACTGCCTCCGCCCAGCGAGGATTTGCGCTCGCCACTGCCGCCGCCGCCGCTGCCACTCGCCTCGTTGGCCGAATTGGACTCGTTGCCGCCCATCTCCAGGGAGCTGCCGCCGTTGTTGACCAGGCTCTCGTTCCGCCGCCTCGAGCGCTTGCTGCCGGTGCGCTGGAGATCCCCACCGCCGCTAGTGAGGTTGCCATTGGAGTTGCTGTTGCCGCCGTTGCTCACGTGACTGGAGCGCTCTGAATTGGGCGTGGAGCTGCCGCCGTTGCCCGTGGCTATGGCACTGGAACCGGGCAGAACACAGACTCCATAGTGATCCTTTCCCGTGATCAAACCATTCCCATTCAGGCCTCCATTGCCGGCGCCCACTTGGTTGCCCTGCTCGCGCATGGGACTCTGCAGGCGCTGCAGCTTGGTGGGCTGGCCATCCTCCAGCAGCGACGCATAGCGCTCCTCCTTGAGGTCCAGATTCTGCTGATCGGTGTCCAGCTGGCGCAGCTTGCCGTCGATTATCTCCTGCATGTGGTTGACAATCTGCATCTTCTCGTCGCCCAGTTCCTGCGCCTGGATGAGGCTCGTGTGCATCCGCGAGATGCTCCTCGAGCGCCGCCCGGCATCCGGAGAGGAACTCTGGGAAACATACAGGTCGTAGTAGTGGTCCACGTCGCGGATGAGACCTGCAAAAGGGAAGGGAATCCCGAGGTTAGGTTAGGATTTCTCCCCGCCAATCTCCGCCAGAACTCACTTCTGTACTGGACGTCTATGTCGCGGATGCGGGACAGCTGGCGCTGCACGTCGTCCGGCAGATTCTCCACGGAATCAATGTAGTTGTCCACATAGGTGGCCGAGTTAATGGCCTCCGATTCGGAGGCAATGGGGTTTATCATCTTGTTTGGGCTGCGAATCGCTCTATCTCTCTATTCCCGCCGCGACATCGGTTCGGGGTCGTGGGATCTGCTCGTCCGGCGCTCTGGAAGGGATCGGCTGGCTATATATCGCTCCGATTCCACTCAGTTCCAACTTTTTATATGGCGCTGCGGTTCGCAACTTGCGACTGTACTGCTCGTATGTGTGCGTATTGATATATGTATGTATACAATGGGTGGTGCTTTGCAGCACTGGAAAATTTCGGACGTTGCCAGCTCGCTGGAAAGAGAACCAGAGGGGAAGTGATCGGAACACCCTGTGGGCCGGTTTTTGGTTGAGATTTAAGGCGCAAAAGTTGAAATGATTTGAATTAAAAGAAAGATTACAATAGAAAAATCGACACTATTCCTATTCAATTTTACTTTTTAAAATAAATTATTTTTCTGTTCACATTTGTTTTCACACGCAATAAATTCGAACATTCAACTGAAATTGTATCTTCTAGTTAAACTTAAACTTTTTATTTTAATTTATCAATGAATTAATCTACTTTTTACTTAAAATGTTTTATAAATGCATTTTTTAATTTGTTGACTTTTTTTATATACACAATAAAACAACCAGGTGCGCGGGTAAGGCAATATAATTTATGATTTTTAAATTAAAAGCTTTTGGATCCAGTAAGCAAAATGTCCACAGTTTTCAAAAAAATACATCTCGAATGACACTAACCTATTTAAAACCGATAATCCGTTTCCAATTGCCCAGAATAGCGGAATATATCCCTAATTAGCATTAGATTAATAGAAAATATAGTCAAGCGTATAACTTTTATTCGCGTTAAAATAAAAAAAAGGAAACTTTCTCCACCACTAACTAAATTTCTTATAACTTTTGCTCATCAATTTAAAAAATATTTAAAGTTCCGTTACATTTTCCTACAAACTGAAACCGGAAAAGTTGGCAGCTCTCATCTGCGAAAACATCGATAACTCTGCTATCGTCACCTCTGCTAGCAGCTGATAATCGTGCGGCATGATTATCTAAACATTTATTTATTTCAGCGACTCGAAAAAACAATCAAAAATGAGCTTAAGTAGTCGGGTTTTGCTAAATAGATTGGCGCAGCAGTGCGCCTACAAGCGGATTGGTAAGCAGCCAGCTTTCAAGCAGAGACACACATTCATGAAACGTATTTTTTCAGTCACATTCTCCACGAAAACGGCGGAACATGCTGTCGAAAGTCAGGAGCAAAAGAAGGAGGAGGCTCCGGCTGCCACGCCCCCTGTGACCCGTAAGCCCATTATTCCGGCGAACTATCGCTTCGTCTACCCGGAATTCCTGCCCGATCCCAAGGTGGAGTGGCGCAACCCCATCCGCGAGAAGCTGGAGCGCCTGGACATGCTGGACCGGCGCAAGCAGATCGATCTGCCCGAGTTCTACGTCGGATCCGTGCTGGCGGTGACCAGTTCCGATCCCCATGCCGCCGGCAAAACGAGTCGCTTCGTGGGCATCTGCATCAACAGGGATCGCTGTGGACTGCGCGCCCGCTTCGTCCTGCGCAACGTGATCGATCACCAGGGCATGGAGGTGGTCTACGAACTGTACGATCCCACCATTCAGAAGGTGGAGGTTCTCCGCCTGGAGAAGCGTCTGGACGACAGTCTGTTCTACCTGCGCGACGCTCTGCCGGAGTACAGCACCTTCGACGAGAACATGGAGGCGGAACCGCTGGAGGAGGGCACACCGGTGCCCGTCAACGACATCAAGGTCGTGCTGCGACCTCGGCCTTGGCTGGAGCGCTGGGAGCGCCAGAATCTGCGCGGCGTGGCCAACATCGATGAGTATTTGAAGGACAAGCACCGCCTGTCTGCGGCCAAGGTGCAGAAGCCCTGGGAGAAGTACGACATGATGAAGGACTACCGCAGCTCGATTCCCGAGGAGGAGCAGTCGGAGATCTTCGCCGAGGTGCACACGGAACTGCACACGCTGGAGCTGCAGCGCAAGCGCAACAAGCGGAAGCGCACCTTCGTCAAGCCCAAGCAGCTGGCGTAATTGCATTTGTTGTCGATTTTGTAGATTAATAAATTCGGAAAGAATGTTGAATGATAAAGGGTTTATCTAATGCATGATTAGCTATTGAACTAGGCTATATTTTTAAAGTCGCTCTTCTGTTTCTCAAACAATAGTTAAAACTACGCCTACAGTTATTAAAATTTAAATTATAAACTTCTAGTCAATAACAATTTTAAACAGAAGAAATATTTTCAATTTGAAAGCTTTTAAAGAGCACTTATTACACCTTCGATTTGGATAACGCTAAATTAATTAGTTTATTAGTCATAAATGTAGTATAGCTAAACGCAGAATAATTTACAACGCACGTAAAATGATTAATATACGCGATACTTGTAGAAGTTCACGAAGGATATCGTGGCGTTCCAGCCAATAATTGTGACGACCAGGAACAGGATGAAGATAATGGGCAGGGCGATGAGTATGATGCGGGTGTTCTTCAGATGGGGAATGCCTGCGAAAGTAAAACGTGTTATTTAGAGAAAATTTAAGTTCGTAAAGTATACTCACAATTGTATCCCAGGAAGGTGATGTACACATAGTAGCCCATGGCCAGCAGCCAGAATGTGTTGCCCAGGAAGCGGGAGATGAACCACGTCTGGCTGATCAGCCAGTTGTAGAAGAACAGCTGGATAAAGTGCAGTATCATCAGTGGCGGAAAGAAGGCGTTCAGATGCACATCGAAGGCATAGCCCCACTCGATGTCCGGCTCCAGACTATTCGTGCGCAGATACCGATTCGTCACCGCCCAGAAGAACGAGGCAATTATGATGCCCGCGAAAATGCAGTCCACGAAGACCACGTAGAAGATGAAGGAGATGCTCTGCCAGAAGGACAGACCCAGTACATATGCAAAGCCCAGCGAAGTGACTGTTGAAAGGTATACATATTGTTAATAGGATTATCTTAGACTTTAAAGGTGTCATACTTATTAAGCATTTATGCTTATATGTTCTATATGAGTGATTCTTTCTAAAACGTATCAAGATTTTCTTCATGGTCTCAAAACAATATCTAATTTTTATGACAATATCACACCATTTAAATATGATTTTTAAAAAATTTAAAAAAAAAATCATTTGACAGAAGCGAAGATATGGCGATTATATTTTTTTTGTTTAATTTATTTATAATTTTAAATTACGTGGGGTAAAAAATAAATAAAAATACCCAAAAATTATGTTGTTTGCCAAGCTTTCAGATAAAAATAACACCCATAATGGTTCCAGTGCAAAATATAGTCCAAAAATTAAAAAAAAAATGTATATATATAAAGAGTAAATTACTGGGTGTTTGGATTGTTTTGTCCTAGATTGACTAGATACGGAAGTCTAAACAATTTATAATGTGATTATATATATTTTCTAGAATAAGCGAAGGGATATGTCATTACTGGAAAGGATTGGGCAATCTTATTGGCAATTGGTAAAATCAATTAGTTTTTCCCAAATATGTGGATTTGGATGGTTAAAAAAGATGTATTGTCAGATTTCTTGTATCAAGATAAGGTTAAAGATGGTGCTCTATAAGATGTAAAGATGCTTTCCCTTCCCCTCAAGTGGGTAGATGGTTGCCCTTATAACTCACCACATAGACAGACCACCAGGAGCACCAGGAACGCCGGATCGTCGCGGGCGAACTGTGACTTGGTCTGCTTCCGGTAGTTGAAGTTCCGGTACACCTTCTGGGGCGCCACGAAGAGGTAGAGCATCTGCCACAGGGCAAACTCGAAGTCCATCTGATTGAACTTGAGCAGACGTCGCAGGTATTTGTAGCTCTTGGTGGTCGCCGAGAGGCAGTCCCTCCGGTGGTTGGCGGGCGGCGGGAGGGGCGAGTGGAGCCGCGAGGCGCTCGAGTAGCCGGAGACCACCGACGGCGTCGGCGACTGCGTATACTTAACGTGGCTGTATTGACTCATTTTGTTTTGTTTAAAACTAATTTCTAGTGTTTCCAGCAGAGTGGCTGCGCCCGCAGCGCCTCGAAATACCGATTTTCCGTGCTGAATGGGCTAAAATAAGCCAGGAAAAACAAGATGATGTGGTGTCACGATAGCGAACAGCTGATTAGAGATGGAAGCGTGACGAAAATTGTCTAAGTATCGGTAAGCTTAATAAAAATTATGTTAATAATATAAGATGTTTTAAAAATGTAAATATAACATATTTAAAGGAAATAATATTTGTAAATTACTTTGAAATAGGAAGGGAAGTATATGTGGTGTCACGATAGCGTACAGCTGATTAGAGATGGAGCCGTGATCAAGTCTACCTAAATATATCGGTTAATTAAAAAACATATGTATTTAGAATATTAGATGTTTAAAAATTTAAATATTAAATATTTTAAGGAAATGTTACTTTTAAATATTACCAGGAAATATACCTTACATAAAATTAAATATTTTAAATTCAAATTTCTTTACCATGTTTCAATTTGTAATATTATAAATATTAATAAATCAGAAATACAATAAGTTAAAATGTACCGGTAATAAAATAATTTTTTTTTAATATAAAAAACAAACCCCCATCAAGTGCTCATCTCTAGCGAACTGTCAACTTGCTATGTTATGAACCGGCTGCCAAAATATCAGTTCCTTGCCCGACTTCCTTTTTTGTGTACTAAATTTAAGTTTCTGCTGCTGGATAGATAAAATAAATTGAGTCAGATTTACGGCACAAGGTAAGAGCGACTTCCTTTGGCCTTTCGATCACCAATTGCAGGCTTCCGACGCCTCCGTTTTGCAGCATGAATAGATGTTCAAATCCGCGGTTACTGCGCGCGGCGCAGCAGTACATACGTAATCTGCACCAGATGAGGATTCCCTATGCCCGTCCCATGGGCATGAATCAGCGTAACTTCACCCTGGAGCCGCTGGGCAACCGGGAGCTCATCCGCATCCACGGCGCGGAGGTGGTTCCCTTCCTGCAGGGCCTTGCTACCAACGATGTGGCCCGGATTCAGTCGCCCGGAGGTCCTGCCTCCCTGTACGCCCACTTCCTCAACAAATCCGGCCGCGTGCTATACGACACGATCATGTACCGCACCAACAATCCGGAGACCATCCTGGTAGAGTGCGATCGCGAGGCTTCCTCGGACTTCCGCCGCCACCTGCGCACCTACCGCGTCCGCCGGCGCATCGAAGTGGACAGCGTGGACGACGAGTACACCACCTGGGTGATGTTCCAGGACTCGGCGGTGGCTGTGCCCAATCCGCACCCGGATTTGTTTGTAACGCCCGATCCGCGGCTGCCCGCCCTGGGCACTCGCATCCTGGCGCCCACCGACATGGACTGGACCAAGCTGACCAAGAGTTTCGCCGAATTTGGCATCGCAACAGCCGCCTCGGCGGACAACAACTACCAGTTGCTGCGCTATAAGCAGGGCGTGGGCGAGGGCAGCTCCGAGCTGGCGCCGGGCAAATGCTTTCCCCTCGAAGCCAATGCGGATTACCTGCACGGCGTGAGCTTCCAGAAGGGCTGCTATGTGGGCCAGGAGCTGACCGCCCGCATCCATCATTCGGGCGTGATCCGCAAGCGTTTCATGCCCATCCGTTTGACGGCGCCCATCGATGCGGGTTCCAGCCAGGACGTCACCTCCGTGGCCGGAGCGAAACTGGGCCGTGTCCTTGGGTCGGCCTACAATCATGGCGTGGCCCTGTTGCGCATCGAGAAGGTTCTCAACGGCCGTCCCGAGCTGATGATCGATGGCGAGCGCTGCTATGTCGATCGACCGCAATGGTGGCCGGAGGATCTGCCCGGCAAGCGTCGCCAGGCGTTCGCTGAATGACCCACGAGCTGATTTGAACCACTATCTGTTATTTTAGCATTGTTATTAGTGTAGTAAACGTAACCTAGTCATCGTCAAAGTTTGCCCAGTTCCTTGTTTCTCTGTTGGTCTTGCAGGGAATCAGAGAAATGGAGGTCGATGACGATTTCGTGCTGGACAATGAGGCAGCGGAAATTAAACGACTAGAGCTGCCGGATGAGGAAAAGAAGCCCACTGATCCCGAGGAAGATGATGAGCGCATAGCACGCATTGACTTCCTTTGCTCTGGCTGCGAAATGCACGAGATGGTTCATTACTTTGGACGGAAACCGCCGTTTGCCCTGGGGACTAAGTATCCGGAGGACAACTACGTGATGCGGGATCCCTTCCAGCCGCCTCCGCCTCGTTGGCAGACAAAAGCGGAATACTACATCTCACTGGGCGCCAAGTGCTCCATCTGCTCGAAGACGGTGTGCAAGGATCCCGGTTGCAGTTTTTACTACACAGCCACCTTTTGCTTGCCATGCGGCCGGGAAGAGCTCAACAACTGGCCAGTGGAGGCCCAAGCCCGGATTCGAAAGCAACTGTCAGCCAGTCAAGGCAATCAAAAGTAGACTAGTCTGTAATTATTCCATAAATTTGAATTAAATGTAAATTGAATGTAAATTAACGAATGGGTTGTAATTAATGTCTCGCTTTAAAAGCTTATACCAAATACGAAGGGCCCTTTTCTCGTCCTCATGTTAAATTTAAATCCTTAAAAACTAGTGAAAATTTAGAGTTTAAAGGGTACTTATCATTAAACATTCAACTTTATAAATTACTTTAATTTCTACTTAAAATAAATAGTAGTAAATAGTAAATAGTTCTTAGAGCAATCCTTGGCACATTTTTGTCGTTTTTAAAGATCACGGTTATCAGTTTTTTTATATGAATCAAACCAAACAAACCTAAGTTAAAAATAGAAAACTTTAGTTAGTAAAACAAAATTATTTTGGACTCTTACCTGTGATTCGAAAGACAAGATTGCACATAGTTTGTAGCAACAAGGATGGTGTGTTTATCCTCAATGGTGCTAAACATGGCTCGAGATAGTTTTCTATTTAAGCGTATAAGGTCGGTTCTGCACTCAGAATGTGGTTCAGTTGCAATAATTTGCTTAAAGTTGTCTATTCGAATCGCTAAATTTTTATCCAGTTTTGCGCGATCGTCGTCATATGCCAGGAAAACGTCCACCGCCTTAATTTTTTGATATTTGCTATTTTTATTGGAGGCCATAAACAAATTCCAAATTTGTTTGTCAAACTCCATATATTTTTGCTTTCCCCAGGGACGTTTCTTATATTTTTGCAATATATCATAAATCTCTTTATCTGGATTTCTGGGCTTAGGAGTTGCAGTTGGTGGAACGAAAATCTTTTCTATTTCAACGTTTTCACAATCTGGACTCGGGTCATGTAGTATTTCCAATTTCCTTAAGTTAGATAGACTGAAGCTAGCTCTGAGTTGTATTTGTTGATTCGAAAAGAATCTACGACACTTTGGTAAAAGGTTTTTATAATTGAGAAGTCTCCCCGCCACTTGTAGTTTTTTGAACATTTCTCTTTCGAGTTCCAATCGTATTTTATTGTAAACTGTGAAGTCTGTGTAGATATCAATTTTAGTTCCGAGATCATAAATGGTTAAGTTCAGGCCAAATAAAATATTTCGGAAATATCTATCGAATTCCTCATTGTTCGCTGTGTTGTGGGGTCTACTTTGGAAGGTCGATTGTATTTCCTTTAGTAGATCTGTAAACCGTGCATCAGTCTTTTGCAGGGAATCCTTCGTTAAAATACAGTTTGTATAATGTCATGCGAGGTTACAGATACGAATCCTCAAAGCTTACCGTTTCGATAGTTACTTCTACCCTTTTTCCATCTAAATAGGGAACAGTTTTGTGAATTAATCGCTTATATCTTCGAAACCTACTCACCAATATTTAGGAGCAATGCTAAAAGGATAATTCCAATAGTAAGTGCCTGAGTCTTCATTAGACCTGTAATCTTCAACGTCTACCGATAACTGGTTTAAGATACCGGATTACAAATAAATGGAGTAAGATATAATTGGAAATGACACGAGCTATTTGTTTCGCTAAGATACAAATTATAGTGGTGTGGTTTTAGATGAAATTAAGAAGTTTCGAAGTTCTGTTAAACATCAGAAAATATTTTATTAAATATTAAAATAAGGCATGGAAGTAAGTTAAGCGGTTTGTACATTCAGATATTACATTTGTTCCATTTATTTTCGATATATATTTTTTTCTTTTTAATGAAGTTTTATAAAAGAGTTAGAAGACATCAAACAGCAAACAGGGAGATTCAAGTTATAAAGCAATTCATAAAAGTATACAAATTAAATTGTTTCTTAAAATGTAGAGTGCTTTTGGGATGAGTTTTTATAAATGTTTAAAAGTTTAGCAACTTACAGAAATAATTGAGTACTTATTCAATCTTTTTAACGATTTTTAAGAGATGTTTTTGTTTCATAAGGAAAAAAATAGTCCCAAACTACACCCCCTCTTTAAAACTTTTATTGGAAAAGATTTTTGTAAGCTTATCCGTCAATAAAAACTATTTTAGCCTTTTGGGAAAGTGGTTTCCTTCACGGCTTTAGACATTTCTACACACATCGGCAATAAATTAGAGCATTACATGTGTAAGATACCGAACTAGCGACTTAAGTCGAACCTTTGATCAGGGCAAAACACGCGTTAAACACCCACAATTGCAGGGCAGTTCAATGGAACCCGACGGTTTCAGCTGCCTGTCCCACAATTAAGGCATCATTCAGGTTTTTTCCTTGCAAACCAAAACGCTAGTCGATGATCAACGGTCAGCGATCTGCGATCACCGGTCTACGGGCAATTTATGGCACGGTGTCCAAGCAATTGCACAGAAAGACACAGAAAACAAAAAACAATCTTTATCACATTTATTGCAATGCCCCAGGTCTTTTGTCAACGATATCGGGCGAGAGACAAAGGGCAAGCGGGTGCCAAAGGAAAAGGTCAGAAGGTGACCCGAAGGATGCGCAGGATGTGGGCACAAAAGGAGCAACGCGCGCGCGATTCTCTCATCTTCCATTTCGCATCTTTGAGGTCGTCTTAGAGGTCAAGTTTGAACCTATTCGGAAAAATCCTTGGGTCTCGAAATTGCGGGAAACTCGGCTCAAAAGATGTTCACTCAATCTGTTCCGAGTTGTTTGCTAAAATCTCCCACAAACCGATCTTAACTCAAACGAAATCGAGTTGAGTCTTCCAAATAGGGGTTGATTTTTATTTGAACAGAAGACCAGGGAAATAGAGAGCTTCTCTTTGAGTAGATTTCTCTTTTGCTCATTTTTTGAGTTGACCAGAAAATATCCACTTGGGCGATGGCCATCGATCCTTGTCCACGCAGGACATTTCCGGATTGCATTCAATTGTCATCCTGCAACAATTGCGCTTTTCTCTGGATTCTTCATTTGTTTGTCTTCTTCCGATTGCCTGTCACATTTTGTTACTTCTATTGGTTTTTTAGCTCATGTTACCTTCTTTGTTGCAATCTGGAGGATACTGCCTGGATAAATGACCAAAATTGGCCGGGTCCTTCGTAGTATCCATATCCAAGCAGCAGCCGTCTGACATCTTTTGGCGCCCATAAAAATTAAATGAAAATTAAGCGCAAACATGAGAATTGTGTCACATAAATTGTAACGCAGCCTGCACCTTGCTCCGACTATTTTTAGTCCTTCGGGCAGCTGTGAAGGATTTAGCCTCCCCCAGCTCCTGTGTATATTACCCGAGCTACACAAAAATTAGTCCATCTGCAACTGAGTTATGCGCTGCTGAGGTTGCCCCTTGATTAACACATGTCCTGGACAATGCGGGCGTGGCGAACAAGCACCTCCGACGGCATCCCAGATCCAAGATCCCAGTCGCAACCCATATCGAGGTCCCATGTGCAGTGGCCCATCGCCTATATGTTCGTGCCTGCTTTGTTGATGCTCTTAACTCATTCATTATGAATTGGAGGTGTTAAATGTGCCACATGCATCATGTAGTGCTGCTGTTGATCCGATATCATGTGTTGCCGATGGGAGTTAACAGCAAAAAAGGATTTATGTTCAGCTACATGAAGAGATTCCGTTACAATGAGTAATATTATATTTTTATATGTTCTGATTATTTTTGTAGAAATGCGTTCTGCGGTTAAATAAGTTTATTATATTAAAAACAATAATTAACTTTTTTAATGTTTTTTTATAATATTAATTCCTCTTATTTAAATGGGTTTTAACGTGTTAAGTTTTAGAATAAAAAAATATTGATATTATAATAAAAATCTAAAAAAAATTAGCTGTCTTTATCATTTTGAGTTTTTTATTTCTTATACATTTTCTGAATTATTATAGACAATTTTTAATGCATCATTAAATGATAACTTTCCATTCGCTTCAGCTTTCGCTCGCTTTTCATTCAGTAGAATGATCAATTGAATATTTGTCAAACAGAGAGTCCCGATCCCCGATCTTCCAACCAAACGTTACACCCACGAAAACGCATAAAAGATTCATCATGCTCCATAGGGAATGCCACAAGATTATGATCGTGTGCATGTAGAAATCATGGGAACAACAGTCGTTACAAAACGTTGAATCAATCATAAGACGCGCAAATCCTCAAGGAAATCAAACAATGGCGCGAAGATTGGGATCGGGATGAGGTTAGGGTCGAAGGGTAGGGACTTTAAGGACCAAGAGCTAAGGACTCGGGTCGCAGGGTGAGTCAATGTTGCGCGTGCGCAGCGCACGCTCCCGTTAAATGTTTACGCTATTACGCTCAGAAAATCAGGAGCCGAAGGAGCAGGCAAGGAAATGAGCCTATTATAATGCCTTGAGTCCCGACCCCCGACCCCGACCACGACCCCTCGTGTGACCCCGATTTTCCCGAGACGGCGACCCCGGAAAACACAAATCTTACGCGCCAACACGCGACATTCAGATTTCTCGAAAGGGAACCCTGGCATTTGACTCACTGCTGATCCCTTGGAGTCCTTCCCCTTCTCCGACAAATGATTTTCCTATGTCTGCTTCCTTGGGATTTTAGGTTCGGAATATTTGTTTGCTTTCCCGGGAACTGAGAGACCCCTCAACCTCATTCAAATGAGCTCAGCTCCTTGGGCGATATTTGTACTTAGTGTGATCTTTAGCAGCTTGACATCTGCCCCTGGCTCCCGACTGGCGAGTTATGGAGTCATGCCCTAATTTCTGGTAGTTCTTAGTTAATTTCTCAGCCGCTGAAATTTGTTGTGCCCCAAGGAAAGGGTACTCCTTAGACAGCTGCAAGAGTAAGATTTTTCTGAGCTGAATATTTTCATTTTAGTTATGAATAATGTAATTTAGTATTTTATATTTCCACCAAATGTAAAGGATGTAGAACTTATTAATAAAGTAAAATAAAAATTCTAAGAGCCGACTTTTATCGTTCATACAACCCTAGATCAAAGAAGAAAGTACTTTTCTGCGAGTCCTTAAGCTAAATGTCAGCTCAAATTTAACGCCAATTGCACGCGTTTGGAAAAAGAAAGCCAGATAAGAAAGGATCTTGAAAGACATGAATCAGAGCTGGCCCATCAGATGATCAGACTCTGATTTCATGGCTGTCCGCTTAGGAGGACAAAGAGTGGATCGGTCCAATTAGCCCAGATAAAAAACAGCACTCCTCTTAATCCCGTCAGCGTGTGATTGGCCTCAGAAATGGCAAAGCTGCTATCAATGGATGAATGGAGGTATGGTTGACTGGAAAATCTGAATTCTGATTGAGAGAGCTCAGATTGAGATCGCCGGCAATACGAAAATGTCACGCTTATCGGGGCAGAAACATGAACCACGATGGACCGGGCGGATCTGTTGTGGTTTGGCGGCGGAAAGGAAGTCGATGCCTCAGCCGGCAGTCCGGTTTTGTCCTCATCATCGTCGCCTTTGACTGGAGGTTTCGAAGCGGATTGTTTTTGTAGCCGTCGGCCGCTGGCTGTCAGTCAGCTGAGGCCAAACCGGATGGAACTCGAAAGTAATAACAATATACGCACATGTATCCTGTGCCAGGATATTGCGGTGCACTTAAATAAATATTAGTTTAAATTGTAATATTGTAATATTGAATATAATATGATGAACAATTTTAACAAAATATAAAATAATATAAAAAAGGTTTTTTTAATGCGGATTTTATTACATCATTTATTTATTTATTTCAATGGTAAAATACTAATACAATGATTATTTTTCCAAGTGCATTTAAAGGAGAGAAACAGAGGTAGTTAGATTTGCTGAAGTCCCTAAATGAGATGCAGGCGTTGCTGTTACCTCTCCCACTCCTCGTCATCTTTCCACAGGACCTCAACCACCTTTCGGCGATATACTATACACTACTCCTACTCCTACTCCTACGATACCACTTCGATCCTGACCGCGTGCGTGGCCATTGTCCCGACAGCCGTTATTTGAATGACATTTGAATTTTGTGCATTTGCGTTCGCTCGTTGGATTTCAATTGTTGGGCTGTTCTCTGTTCGGCAATCGATGAGTCCTGCGATCGCAGCCAGGATCAGCATTTGATGTGATGAATTCATTATGCTGACAAAGGCTCAGCCTGCAGCAGATGGGGGCTGAAATATGCCAGTAGATCTAGGAATTGCTTACTACTGATCCCCGAAGTGAAATGGAATTCTATTAAGATTACTAGTACTCGATTTTAAGTTCTGCAATTTTAGGATTTTGGGATTGTAAACGTGATAAAATAGAGAGAATAAATAGTATTTAACGTTCAATCACAAGCTAATAATTCTCTGTTTAATTTAAAATTTTAATGATTCTTATTTTTAAAAGTAAATAAAAAACTAATAATTTGAAACATATATTATACTAATTTTTTATAAACGGCCTACTACGTTTATAAGAAATTAGTATATTAAAATAAATTAGCTCGGTCTGTAAGAACCATCCCAC